TCCTGGTAGTTGGTGGCGACCGTCACCGGGTTCAGGGCTTTGTGTCCGTACGCTCCCATATAGAACGAAGATTTCTTCATACTCGTCAAGGATTGAAAGGACTTCCACGCCTCGGTTTCCCAGAAAGACGCCCTCGGGGAGTCGGCCGGCCTGATCTCCATCTCATCTGCAGGGAAACACATCATGTAACCTACGTCGCTGGGGGTGCTAGCCATTGCCAACATCCAAATCAACATTGGCCTTACACAGTCTGCCGTCTCCTTATTCACTCGCATTTGCTGTAGAGGTTGCAAATCTTGTCGTCCGTAAGGTTCGCTGCGAGTTCGAAGTGCGTATAGATCGGCATCCCGGTGATTCTTCCGAGAGGTTGGCCATGTAGAATGCATTGGAGAAGCCACCACATCTGCTAATTTTCCTCTGGACGCGGCCCATAGTAGGAGACGGTACACACCTTCTCCCCTTCCCATATCCCAGAGCTTGGAGTTCTTGACGTCAATGTTCAACATGATTTTTCCTCCTTTGGAGATCACTTCGAACGGGTCCTTGGAACCAGTGTCCTCACCCGCATTGATGTTTACAACCCACGCATTATGAACCATCAAGGCCCTTCTCTTCCTCCGGGTTAACGGCAATTCCTTCAGGTATCGTAGCCCCGCATTCACGTCGAAGCCTTCCACCAACATCGCCTTCACATCCTCGGGGAGGTTCCTTGTGACAGGGCATAAGTGGATCACCCTCAGGAGCGTTGCCCGGTCGCCGTTGGCCGAGTAGTCCTTCAAGAGCTCATTCCAGGGCTTTTGGGTTTCCTTCTTCATCACCTCCAGTCGGGCGCTCAAAGCTTCCACCTGGTCGTTCAGGAGCTTGAGGTGTTTGGCCTCCAGTTCCTTTATGAGGGCCAGGGCATCCTTCACCTGCAGCTCCGGGCAGTTGTTCACTATGTTCACCTTCAGCAGTCCCCGTTTGGGATGAAACAGCTGTAACGAACCCTTTTTCCACCTCAAGGTGCACCCCAATTCCTCAATGACTGGTCCAAGAGGAACTATTGGTTGAACTGATTGTCCGTCCTCACCCTTGACCAACACCGTTCCTTGGAGGTTCTGGCGTAACACTCTCACGTCCTCCCCGGCCAATGTGACCGACACCGGGTGTCCATCCTTGTACTCGTCCTCTGTAGCCTCCCGCATTGCATGGCTCGCCCCACTATCCAGCAACCCATTCACTGAAGCTTTCTTGTCCACAACTGAAACTTTCATAGCCGCTTCCACAGCCTCCAACTTCTCCTTGAAACCCAGCTCATGGACCGAAGCACACTTGATGTTTGCAGCCGACATCGACTTCAACATCTTGCCCACATCTGCAAGAACTTCCTTGAGGTCAACCTGAGGTGCTCCTTCCGTCGCGGGCTGCTCCGAACTGCGAGAAGGAACTGGTTCAACCTGGGGAACTTCATCAATGCGCACCGTCTTACTGGTTGGGGTAGAAGAGGAATTAGCACTCGTAGTAGGTGAGGTAGGAGGCTTCTGCGGGGCCGACTTTGGAGTTCCGGGAGTTGACGTACCAGGCTTCTTCGTGTGGCAGTCTTTGGTCTGATGTCCCTTCCCTCCGCAAGCCCAGCAACGACTCCCTTTCTCCTTTTCATTGTTCTCCCACGAATGCTTGAAAGGACATTTTGCCCCCCTTGCACAGCCCTTGTAGGTGTAGCCGTAGAACTTGCATGGGATTACCGACTTGGCCGCCCGATCTCCCTCATTCCCAGAACCCTTGTCAGCGCTTGGCAACCTTGGCGGTGGAGGTGGAGCAGGGACGTTGTCCTTGTGGTCGGCTCTCATAGGCTTAATCTTGGGTTCAGGTCTGTGCGGCACTGTAGAAGTAGGAGCTGTTGTAGTTGCTGCCGTTAGCGTAGAGTTAGCCATTGCCATAGTTTCGCATTCGGCCAACAAGTGGTGATAGAACTTCTCCACGGAATCATAGGAGGGAGTCGTGTCGACTAGGAGCGTACTGCGCACCAAATTGGTGCGGAAGTTCACTTCCATGTCCTTTTCCAGGACTTGTTTAGTCATGACTGACAGCCCACGTGCCAACAAACTCGGATCAGGGGCCGTCACATTCAGCTCTCGGCATCGTCTGAGCCATCTCGCCCACGCCCTCAGAGAGGAAACGGCCTTTTGAGGAGTAGTCACTGCTTCTGGTTGCTGCAGGCTTTGTAGTATATGAACCTTCTCTTGCTGGCCCCCAGGCTGGTACAACGTCATCAAACGAAAAATCAGGGCACATGTGGATCCCGTCGACCTCCGCTGGACCATCTCTTGGCGAACTGACTCATGGAGGGCAAGAAGCACCATTGATGCCCCTCTAGAGTTCACCCTTGCCCATCTCCCGCTTTCCAGCTCCTCCTCCTTGGGTGGTTGGATCACGAGTTTCTCCACAGGCGAAGCGCTGGCCCATTGGTTGTAGGATTCAGTCGCTGCCTTCCTCACCTTGGCCCACCATTCTGCACTTCCATCTGACAAGTCCTGCATGGCCGTCGTTATGATTTCCAACCAGTCCATTATGTCCACCGAGCTCGTCTGAGGGTTCACCTGAGGAAGCTGAGGTAGAGTCAGTGTTCCCGGCTTCACAGTTTCCGGGCCAACCAAACCGGACTTTTCTTTGTCCTTATCGTGAACCATCTGCTTCAACATCACCGCTTGCAGCTGCGCCATACCCCCGGCAAGCAAGGCCATAGGATCACTTTGGGGACCTCCACCTAGCCATTGTTGTGCTGACTGTCCACTTTCCATTCCTTGTGACGCCGAACCTGCAGCTTCGTGACCAGCACCTGAGTCATTCTTGGCCTCCTGAAACGAACTTTGGGGTAACCCAGACTCTTGACCGCGTGCATGCTCATATGTTACGCCAGACTCTTGACCGCGTGCATGCTCAAATAAACGACCTTCATGGGCAGACTGTTGAGGATTCCCTCGGGGTACTGTGTGTTCTACTGGCTCCGCTCCTAGCCCTCCTTGTACTGGACCAAGACCTTCATGGGCAGACTGTTGCGGATTCCCTTGAGGTACTGTGTGGCCTTGAGGAAGCGCTCCTGGATCCTGCCGTTGAGCTCCAGGTCCCCCTTGTACTGAGCCAAGACCTTCATGGGCAGACTGTTGAGGATTCCCTGGGGGTACTGTGGGGCCTTGAGGAAGCACTGTAGGATCACCTTGTGGTAAATCACGACCTGGTAGTAGATGCTGTTCATGTGGTAATCCCCGAGAACCTTCATGGGCAGACTGTTGAGGATTCCCTTGGGGTACTGTGGGGCCTAGTGGTAGCGGAGCACCGGTGGGTAGATTAGGAAGATCTTCTCGGGAGACAAATCCACCATGGTCTTCTGTCACCCTCGAAGCTCTACCCATCCAGAAACTTCGTTCGCTTCTAAGCTGTTCCACTTCTCTCACCAGGTGTTGCACTTGTTCTTGATGGCGTAGGGTGTACTCTTCAAGTTGTCGTTGCACCTCAGCTTGCAGCCTCGACGATCTCTCCGACTCTGGTTCCGACTGTTGCCCGGGAGGACCGTAGATCCACGGATGTTCTCTCTGGGCTTGTCTCATCTGCTCCAGTTGCCGTGCGTCGAACAAAGGAGGCTCTGCTGGCCTCGCTACTGTCCAAGACAGCGGCACCGGTGGTGGAAGAGCTGGGCCCCTCACGGGCAGCTCCTCTGGTGGTGAAATATTCATTGGCGTCGTCACCGAAGTTCTCACCTGGATCTCTCTCATCGAGTGCTGTTGAGGTATAGAGGGTAGTCGTATGCTTTCCAATACACGATCCATGCCCTCAACTCCCCGATGTGCAGTAGTCCTCAGGAACTCCGAAACCCGAGCAAACCATCGCACACCATTCTGATCTTGCCCTCGTGGTACACTTTCCGCCGTGTAAAATTCTTGAACTCTCATAGCCGCGCTGGTAGGGGTCATTGGCACCGTTGGTTCCAGAGTTGCCATCGCTCGTTCCGTTATAACGTTCGCGCCTGCTTCCGGAAGTTGCTGATACGCCGGTTCCACCCTTTCCGGTTGCGTAGGCATCTCCCCATGGGTCACTGCCAGACCTGCTTGTCGAGCTCCAGTAGTGGGTGCAGGATCATGTAGATTCGGATTCTCCAAAAGCTGCTGACCACTTTGCCCCACTGAACCAAAGCTCTCTCTCGCAGTAACAGCTGTCACCCCATTGGGTAAAGTTCCGTAGCCTGGCCTGCCACCTCCAGCTTGGCTTATACTCGCGGAGTCGCCCTCTGGTGCTTGGGCGCTCATAACCTGTAGAAGGCTGTATCCCAGCAGAAGGTCTTATGCAGTTAAAGCTGCGCCAACGGCCATGGGCAAATCTCACTGTTTTCCGTCTTCAAAGGCAATGCGACGTGACTTCAGCAGGTTCTGCTTACTATGGTGTGTACATCTTTACAAATCATCGCCGTTCCTTTGAGCACCGCTTTGCAGTAACATCACAAATCAAGGTTTTCACAAGCCGACGACTGAGCATGAAATGCAATCTCTGCATAAAACTATGAAGACCCCTGTGTTACCCACAATTACCTTCCAGGATACAGCTGGGCCTCGAACACCTCAGCATGGTACCCCAGACCCCCGGGAGGATCTAGAAAGTAGATCCCCGAATATTAAGGGCCATATACTACTAAGGGTACGTTATAGGAACCCCCATTAAGGGATCTACTTTTTGGATCCTCCCGAAATTATGGTACGGTGTTCAGGACCTTACAGCCTACTTACCTGAAACCCAATGCCCTCAATCCCTCAGACCTTAAACCCTGAGCCCCAAGCCATAAATCGTAATATAGGGCTTAATATAAGTAGAACAAGTTTGGTTTTCTAAAGTATATCATTTTGCGACTATAAGTATAATAGGGAACCCCGAACCCTACTCTAATTATTAAGCTACATTACATACATGCCCGAAAGCTTTATAAACCCCTAAACCCAAAACCCGACAGGCTGCTGACATTGCTTTAGCGCCTGCCGGCTCTGTCGACGGAGCTGTCGTTCGTCCTCCTGTGGCAGCTGGGCTTCAACGTGACCTACAGTCAGGGTTTAGGGTTCATTATAATTTAGGATTTAGGGTTTAGGGTTTAGGAGGGTTTAGGGTTCAGGGTTTTTTTAAGTTGGTACACTTCTCGATTTGTGCGTGTCATCCTTGCGCAGGGGCCATGCGAATCTTCTCTGTATCGTTCCATTTTTTTCGGTTAGGGTTCAGGGTTTATGGGAATAAAGGTGACCTGCGTAGTATGGGGATATAAAGGGCCTTGCCAAAATCAGAATAGGACCTGTGAGGCAGAGCGGCATAGTTGGCATACTATCGTATATTTATGGTACGAGTAATTATTCAGGCTGTACTTTGTGCCGCTCAGTACTCTTTTCAGAGGTGCGACGCGGGAAAGATAGTTCCAACCATATACACGACGGTAATAGAATCAATAGAGGCAATAGAAGCTACAAGTCTACCTGCTGCTTGCGCCGCCAGAAATCCGGCGAGCAGAAACCTCGCACAAGAAGCAAAACTGTCTGGTTCTTAGTAGGGAATGGGGGAGTGGGTTATGGGGACTACTATTGAAGATTTTCTACAGACTGCTATGGGGATCCATTCCGCCATTCCCTACTAAGAAACAGACGGCATAAGCAGCAGCTGTGCGGGTTGCCACTGTCCAGGGATGTCGCCAGCGATAGGGAAGGCCACCTGATGCAGCTGCCAGAAATGGCGCGCAAACATACACATGGGAGTTTCCGAAAAAGAAATTGGGAGTACCCTAGTTTGGGATCCTACTATTTAGGGTACTATATTAGGGTCCCCTATCTCGGAAACTCCCAGATGGCCCACGCAGGACACACTCCAGCCAGCTGTGTGCAAGAACTTGCCACGAGGCAGTCTTCGAGCCGCCGGACAGAAGCGGCGAGCCACGGTTTAGGGTTTAGGGTTTAGGGTGTGCGGGCAGGGGCTGCTGCTAATCTTCCGCTGCTCGGGCATCTGGGAGCGGGCCCACTCGACTTTGCTTTTGGACGTTGGGGAGAGCATCCAAACCTCCTGCCGGCCAATCTTGCAAATTGTCACCCTAAACTCTACACCCAAAACACTAAACCCAAAACCCTAAACCCTACATCCTGAACTCTACACCCACAACCCTAAACCAAAAAGCCTAAACCCTAAACTCACCTGCTTGTTCAGCCTGGGAGGTCTCGAAGCAACTTCCGGACGACTCGTTGTGAAGGCTGTTCTGCCAAACTGTACAGGTTCTTGGGCGGAACCTCGTTGTCCAAAAATCCACAGTCCGCTGCCGACGAACAAACTCGCAAGACTCAGAAGAACCAGTGAGCCTCTATACGAATCGGAATAAAGGCTAAAAGCATCCCTTTTGGTTCCTGTCGAACTGTATCCAAACCCTATTCGAACTACACAGCCCCCCTTAACAAGGACAAGCAAGGCCAAACTCCAAATGCAATCCAAGGAGGCCCCAGCACACAAAGCTCTTGGCCCAAAACCCTGAACCGAAAAATCGCCAAGCCTTACATCACAACAAAAACCCGCAAGGATGCCAGCTTATAACAGCCCCTCTCAACAACGCATACATAGAACCCTTGAACAACCCGTACCGCCGTACAGGTCCCTTAAAGGAGCCCTTATAGAGTCCCTAAGAAAAGCCGTGTTCCACGCTTCATCGTCGCCTGCGTCAGCTCCCCAGCGGGGCCCGCGCAGGCATTTGCTGGCCGGGAGCGCCCCAGCGCCTCGTGAACGACCTGAGGAGTCGAGCTTTGCTCCTTCTGCTCCTGGGCTTTGGGTTTTGGGTTTAGGGTTTCGGATTTAAGGTTTTTATCACAATCACTGTTGGGTCTTTGATGCTTATGCTGTTTATGTCAAATAAAAGAATCATGATGAGTATGGGTGCCAGAGTTCTTGTATTATACGCACATACGTTGTGCTTGCCTGCTTCATCTAGTTTACCTGTTAATTTGTGTGTATGTATATCCGTTAAACTGCTTATCTCGTCTTGGATTATCTAGGTGGGTTTGGGTTTTATGGCTTGGGGCGTAGGGTTCCGGGTGTTGCTGCGATCAAGGTGACGGATTGAAGCTTCAACCGGTTTAATGTGGGAACTATAATTTTACGAGATCTGAAGAGTCGACGGTCTACCGTCTCATTTGCAGATTGGTGTGACCACATGGAGTGTTCTTTGGGGGTGAGGGGTCGGGTGAGGGAGTATTGGTAGTGATTCAGGCCTGTACATTGGGGTTGAGGGTTGAAGGAGCAGGCACATGGCGGGATGGAGTGGGGTTGGCAGTTTTCGTTGGCAAGGTTGCTTCGTTCTGGACTGGTGGAGGTTTGTGGTTTACCGCTTTAGATAGGCTCACAAACTCTAAAGCCTCAAACATTGAACACTAAACTAACGCAACACCCCACGTCCCTCGCAAGGAGCCGGACCGTATAGCCTGCAGCTGCCAGCAGCTGTACCTGGCTTCTGGGTGCTGGGGCTGCCACTGTGGATTCCACTTATCATACTGCTGATGGACAAAACCCTGCATTACCTTTTATAAGGAGTATACCATAGTTCCCATAGTTTAGAGTCCTCAGGGTCATGCAGGATTTTGTAAATCAACGGTACTTCTAAACGGGGTCTAGAATGACCTAAACCCTAAACCCTGAAGTCCTGAAGTGTTGCGAGGTCTTCACAAGGGTTCTATAAGAGGTTGCTTTGGGAGCCATACTTACCTTGAGGTATGTAACTTTGTATAACCCAGAGAGTCCATATACACTGAAATATGGAATTAGGTCCCCGAAACCATAATAGGGATGATCTTTTGGGACCTAATTCCATAATGGTAGCGTATGTGGACCCTCTGGGTAAGATTGACATGTACATCTTAAAAGCAGGTACCTCGCATCCGAATTGACCTGCAACATTGAGCCACCATCTAAACGGTGCTTAACCAGGGTCCCGAACCACTAAACCCTACAACCGTATTAAACGATGGAAAACCAGGTCTCGAAACACTAAACCCCAAGACCCTAACGCATAGCTGGATAACCTGTCTGGTCCTTAGTAGGGAATGGGGGAATGGATTATGGAGCTATTATTGGGGATTATATAGGGGCATTCCTCCATTCCCTACTAAGCACCAGACAGATACCGGTGGCGATGATGAAGTAAGTATGAGGCGGGTCCCGTGCTTTCCCGGCCCCGCATAACATTCACAAAAAGTGAGCCGGATGTACGTCTGATTTCTGGCTGCTGCCACCAGGGATCTCAAATCTGCTAGCTTAGGTCTAGGGCGCTTAACTGGGATGCACGGCTTAAGGCTTGGCAGCTTTGTGGTTTTAGTGTTTACAGAGGTTCAGAACTAACGTTTCGGTTTAAAGTCCTACAAGTGGTCGACACTGTGAAACGTAGAGGTCCGCGAGATTCTGGGCCTCTCCCCTCTGAACCTCCCACAGCATGAAGAACTACCCCTAAGATGAACCCTTGTAGTATCCTTAAAGCTTGGCTAGCCCGGAAAAAAAACTCTGAATGCCTCTCACATACGATCCTCTTGATAGTGCTCAGGATTCAGGGTTTGCAGGCTCCGGGCACGCATTTTGGGTACATAGCTCAGCCTAAACTCTGAACCCTACTTAGAGGCTCAGGGGACTGAGTAAGTAGGCTATAACTAGAGCTATAAGTAGCCTAATCGAAATACCCCAGTTATAACCCTACTTATGACCGACTTACAAAGCTGGGCCTCCAAGTAAACCCTAGTCAGGAACCCCTTCACATACACCGTGGCCTCGTCGGGAGCCAGCGCTGTCTCCCGGGGAGCCTCCCTGTCCTCCGCACCTGCATATCCAAGGGTAAAAGGAGGGACCCTCATAAGGACCCCTAGGTATATACCCTCAATATAGCTGTTATATACCCTTAATATAGCTATTATACACCCATTATATAGCCCATTATAGGGACCCAGGGGTCCCCGTTAAAGGGTCCCTCCTTTTCCCCTTTGATCACGGCTCAGCCTGAAGACTTCAAGGTTGAGGCTTGCAGCTTCGGGTTTCGGGCTTGGGCCCAGGGTGTAACGCTAAGGTTCGAGCTTTTAGGGTTTAGGGTTTGGGGTTCGGGATTTAGGGTTTAGGGTTTAGGGGAGCTTTTAAGGCTTTTGGTTCGGGAGTTCAGGTTTCGGTCTATAAGCCCGGAGTTTGATTGGGGAAGAGGATGGACTTTGGGCTGCGAGTCTCTGTTCGGAGGGTTTGCGATTATTTTCAGATGCGACTAGCATGTCCATACATAAAAAATAGATATACATACCTGGACCCTACGGAACCTACCTTTTTTAGGGTTCCCTAATATGATTTCTTTGTATAAGTCCTTAAAAAGGTAGGTTACGTGGGGTTAAGGTAAATAAATGAATATACCCCTCCACAGAAGGCCTAAGCGAAAACACACGCACCAATGAACCCCGAAGCATGACATCCGATCCTTTTCTGTCGGGCTCGTAACCCTAAGCCCTAAACCCCCAAACCTAAACCCTAAACTCTAAACCCCCAGCTGGACCCTATAGCACCCACCTTTTTGGGATCCTTATTATGATGGCCTTTAAAGAACCAGGCACCTAAACCCGAAACCCCAAACCCTAAACCCTAGACCCCTAAACTCCTACATGGACCCTATACAACCCACCTTGCTAGGGATCCTTATTATGATGCCTTTATCTAAGTCCTGAACAAAGTATCTAGGATACCCAGTAACCTAAGAATAAGAAGGCCTCTCTTTTTGGTATTGGGTAACTTTATAAGGAACCTAGGACTACAGAAAGGGAATAAGGGTACTACTGGGCATCCTAGGTATTATTCTGGTTCAAGTACCTTAACCTACCAGAACCTACTTTTTTGTAGGGTCCCTATAAATCCCATGTTAAGGTTTATAATAAGAACCTACCAAAAAGTATGGTTTAGCAGGTCTAGGTAGACCCTAAACCCTAAACCCCTAAACCCTAAACCCTAAACCCTAAACCCTAAAACCCTAAACTCTGAACCAGGCAGCGTTCAGCGCCTGAGTCCTGGCCGGCACCGCAGAGGCTCTTCGGCGGCGGGCCTGGCCTGCACTTTGCATAGTTTTCACGGTTTAGGGTTTAGGGTTTAGGGTTTAGGGTTTGGGGTTTAGGGTTTAGGGTTTGGGGTTTAGGGTTTTCTGTCTGGTATTCGGTGAGGAATGGGGAAATGGGGTATTGGGACTGCTATAAGGGACCTTAATCATTGCCCCTTTGCACCGAACCAGAACCACAAGGTTTAGATCCACAGGGCTTTTTCGACAGAGTTGGCTTTTAAAGACGTTTACAGACTTTTAAAAACTTTCAAATGCAAGAAAAAACATTCTAAAAACTTTTAGAAGACTTTAAAAGACTTTTAGAAACTTTTAGAAGACTTTTGCAAACTTTAAAAGACTTTTCAAAACTTTAAAAGGCTTTTAAAATATTTAAAAGACTTTTAAAAACATTAAAATACATTTAAAAGCTTTAAAAATACTTTAAAAGACTTTTAAACGCTTTTAAAAGCTTTTACAAACTTTAAAAAGAATTTGAAAGACTTTTAAAGACTTTAAACAACTTTTAAAAATTTTGAAAAACTTTAAAACAAAAAAAACTAATGTTTTTTCCGAGAAGACGAGGATGAAGAAGACCTGGCACAGGGTTTACAGTTTCAGGGTCTTTAGGGTTTGGGGTTAGAAGGCAGAGTGCCATAGTATTAGGGGTTTGAGGGTAATGAAAGGGTTAGGGTTAGAGTTTCAGGGTCTTTATTATATTTAGGGTTTGGGGTTAGAAGGCAGAGTGCCATAGTATTAGGGGTTTGAGGGTAATGAAAGGGTTAGGGTTAGAGTTTCAGGGTCTTTATTATATTTAGGGTTTGGGGTTAGAAGGCAGAGTGCCATAGTATTAGGGGTTTGAGGGTAATGAAAGGGTTAGGGTTAGAGTTTCAGGGTCTTTAGTATTTAGGGTTTGGGGTTAGAAGGCAGAGTGCCATAGTATTAGGGGTTTGAGGGTAATGAAAGGGTTAGGGTTAGAGTTTCAGGGTCTTTAGTATATTTAGGGTTTGGGGTTAGAAGGCAGAGTGCCATAGTATTAGGGGTTTGAGGGTAATGAAAGGGTTAGGGTTAGAGTTTCAGGGTCTTTAGTATTTAGGGTTTGGGGTTAGCAGGCAGAGTGCCATAGTGTTAGGGTTTGAGGGTAATGAAAGGGTTAGGGTTAGAGTTTCAGGGTCTTTAGTATATTTAGGGTTTGGGGTTAGAAGGCAGAGTGCCATAGTATTAGGGGTTTGAGGGTAATGAAAGGGTTAGGGTTAGAGTTTCAGGGTCTTTAGTATATTTAGGGTTTGGGGTTAGAAGGCAGAGTGCCATAGTGTTAGGGTTTGAGGGTAATGAAAGGGTTAGGGTTAGAGTTTCAGGGTCTTTAGTATTTAGGGTTTGGGGCTAGAAGGCAGAGTGCCATAGTTTTAGGGTTTGATAGTATTAGGGATGCACAAATCGCGTGAAGTGGCTACGAACTGCTGGATGTTGCGCTTTTCTGCGTTGACCACACTGTCAAGCGAATCACGTGCAGGCGAAGCAGGGTACAGCTGGGTGACGCGACAACGTCTGGCACTCTGCCTTCCCAGCTGCTGGCACTCTGCCTTCCCGCCTCAAGATCCATTAATTATTGCCACCCCAACTTTGCACTCAGCTGGTCGGTCAAAGGTATTGCTCCAGCATCAAGGTCAGGAAGTTCCCCCGGACCACCGAGACGGATGGCAACAAGTGAGAGGTGTTTCATCTGAAGGACAAACTGCCGTTGTTGTTCATCTTCGTCGTTCCAAACATAAACAAAATCACAAACGAGAGAAACGCGCGGCAACTCCAGCGGTTCTTCTCCTTCACCCACCTGATAACACTTCGGGAAGGGGCCTTGGTACCGTCGAAGAAGCCTGAGGCCTCCTGTAATGCGGGAGCCAATACGTGGCCAGTAACGCAGGTAGCGAACCATGATTTCCCAAGGCACGTCGTCATAAACTTCATTCCATGTCTCAGCTGGTTTCCACTGGTCAGGCGCTTTGGCCAATTTTTCGCAAGCGGTTTTGATCAAGATTGGGGAGAGCTCGCCTCTGAAGAAACACTCTCCTCGTTCGATCGGGGCGAAATGCATTGCTCTGGACGGCTACTGTTCAGTCACAAGCACGCACGGCTTCAAACCACATGTGCTAGTTTGTGCGGCTTCCGGGTTGTGGCACTCGAAATGATTGTCCATGTGCTTGCACGTGACAAATTCCACATGTGTGAAAATGCGAACATGCTTTCGCAATCCGTCTTCCCCAAGCAGAAACACACAGTCTCTCGGACGCATTCCAATCTAGCAGGACCCGCTGCCATCAATGCAAGCACACAGACAGACACACAACTTTTCTTTGCAGCGCAGGATGAATCCTCTAGTTGTTGCCAGGCCTCCTGGTCGGGCCACAACAGGGCCTATGGTCAATGACGTGTTGTCTGGCCTGCGCTTCTGTCATCTTGGAAGCCACACGTCCCCAGTGATAGGGTACGAGGTGGCTCCACTCGCCTTCAATGCCAGACACACATGGGTTCATGTAATGTGACACAACACACAGCAGATCAGGCAACCACATCGAAGCTATAACAAATGTTCCGAATCTTTCCAAGAGACCGCCGTCTGTCACACGAACTCGGAGAAACCATTTTGCTTTGTCAGTGCCACCAGGATTCGGGTCGTACTTCATCTCACCAGCGATCTTGGGACACTCCGGGCATTGAACAGGTGTCCATACCCCTTGGTAGTCAACACGGTTCGGCCGCCGCTGATGTTGGGGGCCACGGACTGCAACCTCCCGTGGCTCGAGTGCTGGGATAGGCACTGCAGGCACCTCCGGCATCTCAGCAGGAGGGGCTGGCACTCTGCCTTCCTCGGGCTCCACGTGATCATCAGGCTCTGGGACAGGGATTGCAGCAGGCACCTCCGGCATCTCAGCAGGAGGGGCTGGCACTCTGCCTTCCGCGGCCTCCACGTGATTATCAGGCTCCGGCTCCACCGGCACCTCAGCAGGAGGTGCTGGCACTCTGCCTTCTGCTCCCTCTTGACCACTTTCATCAGGAGGCGCGGGTTGCTTCCTGGGCAACATACGTGGGCGACAAATCTTTCTCTTGGCTTTCCGTTTGGCCTGTGGCTTGGCCTTTGCTTTGGTCTTTGCTTTGGCCTTGCCCTTTGCCTTGGCCTTTGCTTGCTGCGTCTTGATGGCCTGCCAGGTTTGATGCACCCTTTTGATTCTGCGTTTTCTGACTGCGTCTGAGACCATTTTAAATTCCTGTTTGTCCTCAGCAAGCAGGTCGTCAAGAACCAGCTCATCAACAAAGTCCCCCATGATAATGTCATCCTCATCCTCATCCTCTGTTGAATCTTTGGCTGTCGAATACATAGCCTCAATTTTGCGCATGAAATCCTCATCTTCCGGAAGGTGATGAGAAGCGATCAGGCTCATGAGCTTTGGACGGCGCATTCGTTGCAGCTCCTTTCGCTTTTTTTCGTCTACGTTTCCAGTCTGGGAGATCACATGCTCGGCGAGATTCTGGCAGTCTGCGAGAGTCCGACATGCTTGTGACATTTCCCTCAGTCGAGTCAGCAAAAACAAGCACAGCAAAACTTATATAAGTTTATTGTACTATTTACTGTATGGGTCGACAGTTGACAGAATCCTAAATGAAAACATGTCACTTGGGATGCTGCAACATATAGGATAGAAGTGACACTGAGCTTGTAGCACAACGACGGAGGCAAATGAAGCCATTCCAGAAGACTGCCTCTGTTTCGATGACTTCCCAATACTGGGGCTCATACAAATGAATCCAGCAGGCCTTGACGCTGGAACCATCCGGGCACTCTGCCTTCAAAACAAAATATATCTCTCCTGTCGACTGGTCCTCATGCTGGACCACTGGCCACATGAGAGCAGCCCAGGTTTTTGCCCCAAGAGAGAGATAGCATGTCAAATCCAAGACATGGTTCAAGATCTTCAAAGGGGCTGCAAGGCTGCTAAACTTCCCAGCACGCAAGGGAACATGCTGAGATGCCAGTCTTGCATCATTGTAGTGAATTAGCCATGACCACGCAGCTGATGCTCGTTCGAGTGTCTCTTCTGACAGGGTGTTCCATGTCTTGTCGCCGACAATCTCGGTATACTGTGACGGCAGCTTGTGGACACATCCTCTGAAGCACAACTTTTGGCGCTTCCTGTCCACATTCCAAAACTCCCTTTCAAAATATTCCCGTTTGACTTTTGCCGGATGCCTGATTGAACGGCTTTCAAAGACGTTTGAATTCTCGATCACAGTTTGAATCGTGGAGTATGTTTGCTTGCGGGTTTTGTTCAACAAAGAATCATTACGAATCTTGTTGTGCACATCTTCCACAATCTTGTTGTCTGGCAGCGTCTGCACCAGAACACTCAGCAGGTGGGTTGCAGGGCATGCTGGTACCGATATTGTTACAGTCCTTTGAGCTGGCACTCTGCCCTCTTGCCCGTCTAACAAAATGTCACCAACTCCGGCACCGTCATCTGCTTCTTCAGGCACAGAATCCTCCATCTCCCCGTCCTGCTCTGTGTCAACATCATCCACGACAATGTCTTCTGACCCCGGAGGCGCCACTTCATATCCCTGTGCCTCCAATGTGTCCAGAAAAAGTCTCGAAGGATGGCTGATTCCAACTTGCAGGTCTGTGAAGAGTTGCCGGGCATGAACACTTGGAGTGGACCGTGCCAATGTCGACTCCAACCTCAAGAGTGATGTGTGATGGCCCTTTGCCTTCAAAGCCGTGATCGTCCGAATTTCTGCATCAGGTGACAGCAATCCCGCATAGGCATCTGGTGGAAGTGAAAAAAGACTGCAAGTCCAGACCCTGTTCATCAGCAAATGCAAGCTCAACATCATGATTTTTTCTGCGGGCTCGTGTAAATCAGTATCCAGATGCTCCTTCCACAACTCGGTCTTCTGCAGGTTGGAGACAATCTGCAACAAATGTTTGTCTGCTTTCCAGGCATCATTCACTGTCATCAACTCGGCA